CTTCAAAAGTTGCTGCTGTGGCCCACAGAGTACAGACTTAGGGGGCTGACGAGGCTTACTTTGGGTCCTCTCTCTGCTGGGTGACCAGTTGTGGGATCTTGGGCAAGTTGCCTAATCTGCCTAAGGCAAAACTGCATCATCTATAAAATGGAGACAAATCCTATCAACCTCATGGATGCTTGCAAGAATTAAATGAGATAGGGTGCAAATTAGGTTAGTACCAATATGTGTCTAATAAGCTGATAGGAAGGAATAAGTACTAACACTATTATACTACGTTGGCTTGGTGTTATGTTCATTTATTCTTTCTGAATATTAGTTGCTATAATGTTATAAAATGTTCTGAAAGAATATTTCCAATTCTCGAGGAAGAGGGCCGTTAAGAATCCCTCCCTGTGCCATCGGAAGAGGAAAATTTCTCCTTGAGAAAACACGCCTGCTCTCTCTAGTTTCTTTCACCTACAGAGAGCCATGGCACTCCTCTTCAATCTATTGTTTGTATTCTACAGTGACTCAAGGGTTCTGCTAAAACTCATGTCGAATGTCAGAGTAATGTGAATATAGAATTACGAAGCCCAATGTGGCATGGTTTGTTATTGTTTTGCATTTATTTTGTAGAACATGAAACTCAACAGAGCCACTTCCCAGCAGTTTTTCAATGACAACCCAGTGAGCTTGGACCGTCAGTTGCCTTGTTCAAATGGGAGATGGATGCACGATTTTGCTTTTCAGACCCCAAAGCAATGCACATTTGGCAAGGACTAGGAGTCACCATGAAAACAAATCCATTTTTCAAGGGTGACACATTTTGTATTTATTCCAATTTGTAAATGTCTTCCAGTTTGGAGGAAAATGTAAAGAAATTCCCTAGGAGGTGTTTTGAAATTTAATTAAAAAGAAGTTTGAAGACACACCCTCGTGTGTTGCACTTGTAAATATGAGAATATCAGGAAGTCACAGAGAGATGTGAATGTTCTCATCCCGATGTTGGGGAGCTCCGGTTGGGAACTGTGTATATTGATCTTCTGACAAAATAGCAGTGTGCCTCTTCTGCACAACTGGGCCCTGTGGGTAACTTCTGTGTGGTGTATTCATAGGAGGAAAACCTGATATTTTAAATTCTCCTCCCTTCCTCTGGGAGGCTGCTGTATACTCAACACAAACCCTTGCTTCTTGTACTTATAGGGCTGGAAACGTGCCCATTAAACCAGGGGCTGAAACACAAAGGGCGCTCTGGTGAGCTGTTTAGATAACTTGGAGCCCTCATTCTCCAAGCTTCTTGTGACTAGAAGAAGAGAATGGCCTGGCATGGGAGTCTGAAATACTCAACACCCCTGGCAGACTTTTTGTTCAACTCTGCTTTTCGGTGGATTCATCAGAAACAGAGAGAGCCTTTAAATTCTGTTCAACAGTATTTAGTGAGCACCTGCTATGTGCTAATGCTGTTATCTAGTGCTGGATGGTACATACTAAATAAGACAATATGTTCCTGCTCTTAAGAAGTTCACAAAACAATTAGGGAAATAACATTGGCAACGTAAAAGGAATAGTACTATTCTTAAGGAGTTAACCCCAGGACACACGATAATGTAATTAATTGAAGTAATACCTTTAGACTTTGGAATCTTAGTAGCTATCTGAAATGTTCCATAGACAGTCCTTAGGAGTAACTTACCACATGGCAGTGTTTTGCGAACTGTATAATGGAATCTTTGATAAGAGTCTTGTTCTTAACACCTTCTGGGTTATTAAATAAAGGGAAGTGCTTTGAATGTTTTTGACCCTTAATTGGGGATGATCACTATCCTGGGAACATCCTGGGAACACTTAGAACTCTCAATAAAAGTACATCCTGTTAGTCCTGGCCAATGTGGTTCAGTGGGTTGGGCATCATCCCATACACCAAAAGGTTGCCAGTTAAATTCCTGGTCAGAGCACATACTCAGGTTTCAGGCTCCAATCCCAATAGGAGGCGTGCAGGGGGCATAATCGATATTTCTCTCTCTCCCTTCTTTTCTCTCTAAAAAAAAAACCCCAATAAAAATCTTTTTAAAAAGTATACCATGTTAAAAACTAAAGTACACTCTGTTTATGGGAGATAAACCCTCTGAGATTCAACATATTGTTTCTATCAACAGCTGATTCTATTTTTCCATGGACTTTGTGGCCATAGGGAAAAATATCAGTTAAACTGTAAGATACTCAATTAAACTTTAGATTATTCTAAAGTTAATACCTTGTGATAATGTGTTTCAGAATTTCTTACAAAACTCATTGACTATGTTTAAGCACATACAATCTATTTAACCATATTTTATTATTTAATGAATTGACTATAAAGGTAAAATTGAAGTAATACTTGACTTCATTCTCTTTGGGGTTCAATATATAGTGTATCAGGAAGAGCTTTTTGATTTTATAAAGACTGATTCTCTTGGTACTTGTATAGCAGATACAGAAAGTTTAATAGCTGCTTTGCTCAACTGGTACTCAGAATAGTTAATGGAAAATTAAAACTGAGTTCTTAACCATCAAGGTATATGTTTATGCTTTCTGCCAAGAAAAGCTTCAGTTTCTCCACATTTCTCTGTTGCTGCCTGTATTCCAAACTAATTTTTGTAACAAGGAAGGGAGATGGCAATATTGACTTTCAATATTTTCAGCACCAGTAATGTCAACACTGATCTTGGCTCATATCTTCATGTAGCTCTGAATATGTTAACTGCAGTATAGGCATAGTGCTTTAGATTGCACCTGTTTTACATCAATGGCTGGGAACATACAGAAGAAAGGCATGGGGTTTTCACATTTAAGTATCACCACTTGTTTTGGGAGTTAGACTCCACAGTGTCCTTAAATATATATTTGGTACCTAATGAAATACCAAATTTCTGTCTGAATTCAATTTGAGGAAGGTAATAGTAAGTTAGCAGGTTACATTTATTTTCTTAATTCCATAATACTTAGCCCAACTTGCCTTTATGTTTCATAAACATTACTTAAGTAAGGGATGAACCAAATTCACTTAGACTGTAATTTGTTAGGAGTTTATTTACATTTAAACACTCACTATCTTAAATCATGTATTTCACTTTTTCTTTCATAGAAAAGAACAAGGCTACAAAAAAAATGACAATTTTTGTTTCAAAATTTTTTTGCTTCCTTCATCTTTTCACTCCATCCCTCATCCTATGATTTTAGTGCTAGAGACCTAGGGTGTGATTAAAGGTAATAATTGCATTAGTAATGCTTTGGTGAGAATTGGTAACTATAAGTCCCTACATTCCCTCTTCCCCCTTTTCTTTTCAGGCATGGGCTATTTGTGAAGAAAAAACCGTAGAAGATGACTTGAATCTGATGCTTCCTTGATTTAATGTCTAAGTAATTACTAAACTAGAGTTTTAAAAAACATATTTTTCATGTGACCAACTTATAAGGATTTGGTGCAATTTTAAGATTTAGAATTTCAGGTGGGGTTTGGTAAAATGTGGTTATATCTGCTTTTAAGACACTCCAGACTAGTTGCTTTATATGGGTTTGATGTATTGGCCTTAAACTTCTGAGTATTCCTTAGGTGTAGAAACCATCTCCAACAAATTCATAAGTGAAGCTAAGCACAAATTCTCGTATTTCTTGCTAACATAGGTTCAAAATTCTTACCAAGAAATAGTAAGATGGGTCCTGTTTTGAAGGCAATGGGACTCAAATAAAAATATAAGTTCAATGTTAGAATACTCCTTCCCGAAACATTATCCTTCTCACATCCAGCTCAGACTAATCTCCCCGTTATTTTTTTCCTTTTTAAAATGTTCATAGATTTTTGTATCATTTCAATAGTTTCTGACTACAGTGTTTAGTTGTTTCATGTATATGAATCTGTAAGCTGCTCACTGGAATGAGGGAGTATTGAGGGCAGTTATAGTATTTGACTTCTCGTGCCTCCCAAACATCTTATAAATATCTACCAGGATATTCGGCATAAACAGAATGCTTCCTGAACATGTGCTTGCTTGATTCCTAGGCTTTTTGTTCTGTTTTTCTGATGTGTCCTAAGCAGGGGTGGGGAAACTTTTTTCTGCCAAGGGCCATTTGGATATTTACAACATCATTTGCAGGCCACGCAAACTTATCAACTTAAAAATTAGTCTGCCTTATTTGGTCAAACATTGAATTAATTCACCCTTAATGCCTTGGCAGGATCAGACCAAATGATTTTGTGGGCCTTCTACGGCCTGCGGACCAGAAGTTCTCCACCCCTGCTGTAGACAGTTACAGAAAAAAATATTCTGTACAAGGAAAGATGTTTGTGTTTTCAGTTGAACATAGAGGTAGGAACAAGTAGGATGATACTCAAAATGGAAAAGGGATTGCATGTGATGTTCCGCCCATGTGGTTTGCAACCGTGGTAGAACAGGAAAGCAGTCTTCACAGTGAAGGCCCTTTGAGTTGTCACGTATCTCCCAAACATAAATCTCTCTCCTTTCTCTGGTTAGAAACATTAATAGGTAGAATGCTCAAATAGCTCTCTTATGCTTGTAATTGTTACCAATAGGAACAAGCTCTCATAAATCAAACTTTACATTGGTTAAAATTACCCCTGTCCTTAAGGTTCCTGATCTGTTTCTCTCTTCCCGCCCCCCCTTTTTTTCCAGCTCTGGCTGACTCTCTGGATTATGTGTCATTAATCTTTTCTCCTGACCACCCCCCAACCCCCCCCCCCCCCTCTCTCCTTTTTTTCTGCCCTCTCCTGTCTTCACTTCAAATTGGACGTATTTCATGAAATGACGTCTAGGTAGTTGAGCTATTCTATTGAATTGAACTTAAATTTTGGATGAACTACATTTTAAGTGATTTTAAACTTAAAGCTAATGTGAAAATGTTGGACTATGTACCAATATAAATATATTAAACTTAAGGCCATATCAAACACAGTGTAAAAATTACAGTGTGTTCCTTCTATTATAAATCTTGCAGGACATAATTCACCTTCTGAGTCGTGATGTAATTTAGATTATATTTTATTAGACATTCTTTACAAATTTAAAATACTGCTATTTTTACATGCACAGGGGAAAATCAGGTTGGATAATTATATTTAGGAATTCATGAAAATCAACCACAAAATAGAGACACTTTATTGTGTCATTTATCAACATACTTGATATGTATATCTAAAGTGCATTATGTTACAAAAAATATAGAAATTCAGCAGCACCAAGATACATTTACAAAATAAATACATCAGTTGACAAAATAAATTATGGTAAATGTGATAATAATAATTGGATTAGCCTTGGAAAAAATATTCACAATGACCAATGTGCAGTTTCATAGAGCAATGAGGGAGACAGTTTTATTCCAATGCATTTACAGTATTTACAGACAATAAATATTTCTAATACTTTCCATATGTTCACTATTACAGAATGCTGTAATATGTCTTCTGAAGGTCTTTGCAAAAATTTCAATGCCTCCTGAAAAGAGAAGGGAAAGAAGAAGAGAAAATAGGTTAATTATTCTTACAAATGAAGAGACATAAAATAAATGGTATAAATTAAGGAACATAGAATCACATAGAAATAGATCTAAGGACCCTTTGTAAATATCTCTTACAAGAGGTGACTGGGGTTCCATCTGACTCTCTAAAACCTCTACCACAGTCATTAATCCATCCAAATGGTCAATACAATGCGGAAAGGCTTGCATTTGTAAGTATTCTCTGTCAGAAAAAGGAGACCCTGTGAGATTTTCCAAGGCTAACAATTGGCAAGTTTGGGAAGGGAAGGCACACACTTGGGAATCCGGAAATAAGGCTAGGTTGTGCAATCCATCATGCTTAGAAGTTTATTCCGCAGTGATACCTGGTGTAGGTAATCCACTGATGTCTTATTTTTCCAGGTTCGCACTTGGCCAATCCCTTGCTAAGATAATGGGCTGTTGTGAAGGTAATCAAAAGTTCGTGACTAGGGTATATGTTGAAGGATGCATAATTAAACAGACTATGTTCGGTTAATGATTTGATGACATCTATCATTTTCTTAACTGTCCTTAAACACTAATGAATGAAACTGTCATTGGATTTTAATTTTTGAAGCCAAAATTAAAATAGAATTATTTGTTTATTATTTTGCTGGTTTTTTGAATGGATCTTGCATTGAAAATTTGGAAAGCCTATTTTAAATTAGATAATAAGAATCAATTGATTTAAAAGTATAAAATAGCACAAGCAAGGATGGAATGAATCGCATTTTGAACAATTATTTTCTTAGAAAAGAAAAAAGGAGCAAATTAAAGGGCCAAAGGAAAGATCATTTAATATATTTTACACTGCCCAGTCAGTTTGCTTGTTATCCTTCCTTTTGATTTCCCTTTCATAAAGACATGTATTAGAATAGCCAAGAAAAACATAAAACATGACCTAGAAATATATGTGTATGTTTATTATACATGTGTGATGCTTTGGAGTCCTAGCTCTTTTGAATACTGAAAACTTTTATATTATTTCTAAATCTATATATACCAAGGCAAAACATATGTTCTCAATGAAATGAGTCCTACTGAATCTGGACATCTTATTTGCAACATCAAAATTTCCTAAGTTTAAAGTTATGTATTTCCCACAGAGTGGTCCATGAAGAGAAGCCAGACAGTTTTTGCTCAGCAATTTCTACTAAGAACTAAGATAGTTATTATAATAAAGTTCATCGCTTGCCATTTCAGACCTCTCAGATAATCATATAATAATGCAAAGACTAAAGAGAGGATAATAAACGTTTAGTTGCTTATAAAACTTTAAAGTAGTTATTCTGAAAAGATTCTATTTGTACTACAAAATTTACATGGCCCCAGATGTTCTCATCAATACACTGCTAAATCTCTCCACTCTTCCCTGCACCTCTGTTGGGTTGTATTGGGAGAGTGCCAACATCTGGCTGCCAAACAAACAGTGCTTTCCATGAACGTTCCTCACAACCAGGGAGTAGAAAGGAGAAGCAGAAACATTCTATTTCTTTCCGTCCTAAGTCTGGATTTAATTAGGCCACTGCCTAAGTTTTACTAGCTCTACTTTAACATAAGGATAACTTTGGAATAAGAATTGACGAGTGCTGATTTTCATTAATTCTCTGGATACTTAAGAGCATTGCAAATTGTAAACGTATAAAATCCATAAAAAGTATGTATACTTCTGTTTCTGAGAGAGAGAGAGAGAGAGAGAGAGAGAGAGAGAGAGAGAGAGAGAGAGAGAGAGGATGGATAAAAATAGGTTCTGGCAATAGAGGCCTTGCATTAGTTATAAATAAGTACAGTTAGGATCATATCTTAAAGTACACTGAATACCTGCATGGAGCCAACATGTATAAGGCCTGTTACCCCTCACAGATCCATGAGACACTGGCAGCACAGGCCATTCACTGCGCTAATGATTTCACTAGTGCCACTGGCCACTGATTACTGAAGCTGTACTACTAATCCAATATAGTTATCCTTTTATACGCTATTTAATTCTGGGTTTTATTCACTTAACTCAAAGAGAGACGTGATGGTAAATAGGTTCAAACTCCCCTTTGAAACCTCACTCTGTGGTCCTATCTCTAGTGAGAGGAAAGAACTGGAGAAGGAACAGGGGACCCCTTAAATAATGAGATCATTAGCTGCATAGGATGCATTTGTGTGTTGTTTTCCTCTTTCTTTCAAACCCCATAGAAGTGCTGTACTGGAAAGTAAAAAAACAAAACAGCTGCTATCAGTGGAAATGCATAGATCAAGGGGCAGCACTAATAGCACTGGCCTAAGTGCCAGGAAGTGGGGAAATGAATCCAGTCCTGAGGACCACCTATCCCAGTTCCCCGGACTGCACAGGTCCTTTCACCCGGGAGTGCCTTGGTTTTCTAGGTTATAAAATGCAATTACTATTTGCCCTTTCTTTGCCCCACAGAAACACACACACTAAAACAGATAGGTAGAGTGAACAATCAGAGCCATGCCTAAAAGGGCCAAAACAACAAGTTGCAACGTATTGTTTACTCTATGACAGGCATTTAACCCATGCAATCTCATCTCATCTTTATCCAACCCAAAGAGGTTGGTACAATTATTATCTTCATTTCAGAGAAGAGGAGAGTGAGTCTTAGAAAGACTAACTAACTTGTCCAAGGTTTTGAACTTTAACGTTTAGACCCCAAATTTAAAGCTAAGGTATTTGGCTCCAAAGTCTGTGAATGTCATTACTACCTCCAACTATGAGCTAAGGACAAACCAGCCACATAGCCGTGAAGTTTTATTATTCTTATTGCAATATCCTAGAAAACTTTCTCAATTTGCCAGTGGACAAATAGATACATGAGAAAAACATATCCTTCCCAAGCCAATACTTAAAAATTTCCAGAAATCATGATTTTTTTTCTTATAAACTGGTAGAAACCAGAGTTAAAGTTAAATAAATGTAAAGTGTATGTTTAATATAAAATTTAATTACATAAACTTAATTAAATAAAATGTGAATGTCTCAGGATTATTTATGGTAAGATACTGATCTATAGTTTTTGTAGAGCATATCAAAGCCTTTTATGTCCTCCCCTGAAGAGAAAAAAAAAGTAAGAAATGAAAAACGATCAAGAAAGTTTGTTAAAGTGTGAGAGGAGGGGAAAATACATGTCTTGAGCAAATAATGAAGGTAAGCCTTCGCTTCGGAAGCTTGAATAAGAAATGAAGTTATTTAGTGGAGTACTAAAATATTGGTGTTGGAGAGTGAGATGAAATGGGTTAGAAAGCCCCATGCTATGGGGGCAGGAGGACAGTGCTTGAAGTCAGACAATATTCTGAGTCATCCTGGTTTTGCAAGGTTTAAATTGTGGAGTGATTGATGGGGGCAGGGTGCTGGAGGAGGGCAGGAAGGTTTGTCCAGGCCAAGGCAGAGGGAAGATGCACGCCCCCCCCCCCCCCCCCCCCCCCCCTGCTGAGAGCGCAAAGGAGAGGCTCTGGGCCAGGAAGCCAGTTACCGGAAAGCGAGCTCCAGGGATGTCCCGGAGATGTCAGACAGGTGGTCCCCTTCTAGCCCACTCCCAGCCACGCCAGCATGTAGCCAGGCCGATCGAGTCCGCCGCTTCTTCTTTTCCTGCTCCTTGCGTTTGCCAGGCTTGCCTTTCTTTTTCTTGCCGGGTGTCTTCAGTGGCTGCTCTTTGTACGTCTCCACCTTGTTGGTTTCCTGAGTTAGGTACCTGCCCTCATCGTCAGACCCAAAGCGGACGGGGTGGTTCTTCGTGTTGGGGGCGGGCTTGGAGTTGGGGGAAACCTCCGAGGTAGTTCTGATTTCAGCTGTGTGGATTTCTGCGATCAGGTTGTGAAGGAAGAATCGTCGCCGTAAGTCTTGGATGGACTTTCCCTTGTCATGGAGGAGCTGATGTTCAGACACGGCTCTTTTGCTTTAAGGAAAAAAAAAATAGCAGGAGAGAAAGGAAACAATGAAATGTTAGTTGTTGGTAGAAACCACTTAGACAGGAGGAATGCCCTTTAGTTTTCCAGTTGCTACCATACAGGACACCGGCTGCAAGAGGAGCAAGCCCCGCAGCAGGGAAGGGGCCAGGGTGGAAGGGCAGGTAACAGCTGTGGCTCAGAGTACCCGCTCTGCCGCTTACCAGGTTTGTGACCTGGGTGAGAACACAAACATTCTTGGGCCTCCTGGTTCCATCTATTTAAAAGGAAGGGGTCAGATTCAGTGATTTCTGTGCTTCCTTCTCTATTTAAATATGATTCAGTTATTCTCAGAAATGGACAGAAACCACTGAACTGCTTTTTACATTTTCCAGAGTCGTGGTGGGGAAATAAATCCAGAAGTCCTAGCCTGGGAAATAGAAAGGAGGCTGATTTTACCTGAGTACTTGCCCCAGGTGTGTGTGTGTGTGTGTGTGTGTGTGTGTGTGTGTGTACCCACATGCGCGCATGTGCGCGCGCGCACACACACACACTGCTCCCCCATAAAGAAAATAATCATACTGAATCTCAAAGAACAGTGAGCTGTAAGAGCAAAAGCAAACAAAGACTGAAGGATAAAGTGAGCAGTGAAGCCTGTCTAGGAAACTGCCTAACAGACTGAACTTTAACGTATTAGACTACAGGCTACCAAGAACCTATATGTGAAGGCCAACTGTCAGAGAAAGCACGCATAATTTTCTGGAAAGTACTGGGTGGTCTCTTTAAAATGGACTTCTTTGTGTGTTTAAATTAAGTGAGATCATTTTATTTCTTCTGTGCATCTTTTTTTTTTTTAAAAAAAATAAGGATTTCAGAGGGTGTTATCCTTAGTACTTAATTAAGAAATTCACTTTTTCTACTTGTTCTTTGTCTTAAAAGTATCTCCTCAAACATATATGATGTAGTCTATTTAAACAACAATCTCATAAAAATATAGTGGAAAAAGAATAACCTAATTTGCTATCATCAATTCTTTTAGGTGACACCCTGGCTCTTGCTTAACCATCCACCCATGAATTCTTCTCTTAGTCTGTGTATATGGTATTAAACATATTTAAGGATGACATACATTAGTCAGTCATATTATGCCAATGTCAACTGTGCCTATGTCTGCCATTGACATAAACCTCTGGCCAAAGTGGTTCATTTTCAAAGGTCTCTAAGGGTACTTCACAGGGCTACATCCTATGTACCCTTACTCTCCTGACACAGTGTCATCTGGGTCCCTTATTGCTTTCACTAGTACAAGCTTCTTTATCTCCTCAAAGAAATATGACAATAACAAATAGCACTATCCTCCTTTTTACAGATGGGGAAGGTGAGGTGTAGAGAGAGGAAAATGCCCCACCTTTGCCCACACAATGAAACCAGGCAGAGCCAGGGTCCCACCAATGAGTTCTTTTGATTCACAACCAATTGCTTTTTACCTTCCTCAACCCTTTCTCCTACTGACGCTGATGTTTTTTTGAGAAAACATGAAAGAAAAGGCAGAGAGTGAAAAACCTGTGGTGGGAACCATGACAATGGGCAAGTGGACAGCAATCTATCACTTTCCTTGAAGACCAAGCTTATTGCCCCAAAACATCAATTTTCATCACCAAAATAAAGAATTGGGAGACCTAGAGTTTGAATTTTTACTGAGGGAATGAGAGATTGTCTAGTTATACTGCGAATCAAAGAAGGGTAAACCATGAAAAAACATTATTTCTCTGGACCTTCTAGCTAGAATGCCAACTTCCTTTTAGTATTTCAGTGCGTGGACTGACTTTAAGCCATGAAGCTTGTTCAAAAAAAAGACATGACTTAATGGAAAGGAATTTAACAGGAGCCCGGTTTAAATGAGGCATGAAGGAGTCTCTCTTCCTTTTTGAAGGTGCCACATGTGACTAGATTAAAATTCACTTACTTTGTGGCAATAGTTAGTATTCTGGAAACTTTTAATAACCTATAAATTTGAGGCTTTGGTATAATACATTCATATCCTCTAATATTTTTTAAAGAATAGGACTAATATAATTGTATATTTCATAAGTATTGCAGTTTAATAAGCATCTTTTAGCAAAATGTCACATTAAAAAGTTCTTAACCAACATTCCTTTATAGTATTTAGTCATTTTATTTCTTTCTCGATTCCTGGCAGATATCCACCCCATCTGTATTGCTCTCCAAATGTATAATACAACCCATTCTAGCTTAACCTGAAGCCAAAACTTTTAATGGTTGGCCTGATCTAATCAAACCACATTGCTCATGCCCCCTGTGACTGGCATATATGCCTGTCATCTTGGCCAGCCTGTCAACTGTGAGTCACAGTGCCCTCCTAATTCAAGTCCTGCACTTTCCCAGGATGGTTCTCATGGGAAAAGGAGGGATCATTCTGTCCTTCTCTCTCAGAAAAAGCCTACAATATGGCATGATTGTCCCGTTTAAAACAGAATATCTCTTGTGAGGTATAAAAGTTCTCTCTGCCAGTTAGGGGTAATTGCTAATATATTAGAAAAATGCAGCTTTTCTTCAATGCTAAATCTGAAATGTTGTTACAGAATTTACTTAGTGGTTCAAAGACTTCTGTATTTAAACAAGCGTGAAGAATGAATGTCTAACTGGGCAACTGCATTAGAGGATCAGAATTATAATAGTATCTTTATTCCTTAATAAGGAATAAGGTCCATAGAATGTTCTATTTCTTTTCGAAATAAGATAGAAACTGACACAAGGATAAAGGACTAGTCTGTATGAACCAGATACACATAGTTAATGAGTAGTGCATTCAAATTCAGGAGGATTTCAATTTAGATGATCCTGAAATGTTGAAGTTGTAAATATGGCCTCAATACTAGTCTGCTACTCTATATGCCTGTAAACATTACATAGCACAGTGGTTCACACGGAACTTATTACATACCTAAGCTCCAACATGGAAAAACAAGTATGTTATATTCATGGTCTCCTTTGCTTATTGTAAAAAAAAAAAATTGTAAAAATGTGGGGGAACTGCTTAACATAGATAACTCTAAATTCAGTCAAAATATAGCTGTTTTAAAGAAAAATCACCCTCAAGGGAGTTTTCAGGGAAGATTGAATTTCTAAAGAACTATCAAGGAACTCGGGGAGTAAACAGAGTGATGGGAATTCCTCTCCCAGCAGAGGAAGCAGCAGTTTGTGCCGATGCTAGGCTCCTGAAGAAGGAGTCTGAGTTTGAGAAGAAAAGTTCTGTGGTACAAGGAAGACTCAGGGTTAGGGTGTTAGAGTTAAGATGACTCACCAGAAGTCCCTTCCAACCCAAATGACTCAGTCCAAAGTTATGCTTTTCATTAAGTGGAAGAGACCCATTCTGGTTCCCCAGCAGAACAGCCAATGATGTTTTAGATTTCTGAATCTGTTGGGGTTCCACCTCTAACTTAAACACAAAGGTTGCCACCTGTTGCAAGCCATATTCATCTGGACAGTAACACCTATAGGTCTGACTTTCAACCTCCAATCTACTCATGCTCTAGCTTCATTAATTAAAGTCTTTTGGATTCACAGTTCCAAAGGTTTCACAAACCTGTATTGCCTCTTTTGCATGGCTCAACAGACAGTGTTATTGGTGTAGTAGTAGTTTCCTCTCCTTTAAAAGTTAGCCCCTAGTTAGAAAACCATCTAAAGCAATTTCCCTAATACTTGGTGTGAAAAGTAACTAGGAAGTAACATGGTTTGATCCATTGTTAAAATTTCTTTCAAGAAACTAGGCTTATTTAGCATAATAGAGGACTAATGTTTTGTTTTATTGTTACTTGGCAGCAATGCAAAAATAATGACTTGTTTTTTAAACTCCATTTGGCTATAATAATTTGATGAAGCATCTTCATCTACTGATTTCAGATGAAAAAAACAAACAAAAACCATGGCTGTAATGTGATGATCTATTAGCCATTAATTATAAGAATGTTCTGTGGTAGTTTTACAACCATCTGTTGAGTGTGAGTGTTTGACTACAATATTATATTTCACCCACAAACAAAACTATAACAGAGTCTTTGGCTGCTAAATGGTTTTTTAAAATGTGTATTTTGCAAGGTGCAACAACAACAAAAAGAGTTAAAAATAGCCTTTAGGACAGTTAGCACTATTTTAATGCCATAACTGTGGATTTAATCATGGTCCATTTACTGTTTCTCAAAAAAGAAAACAGGTATTTCTTAAGCAACTTTAAAGAAAAATTGGCTGGATTCCAAGACAGTATTTCTTGGCCAAATAAATACAGTATTTAAGTGTGCTTTTAAAAAATTCACTCTCCCCAAAAAATTCATTCTTCTATATTTATATATGGATTTTAAATAACAGGATTTAATACAAGTCTCAAAATGAGCAAAAAGCCCGAAGATAATTTTCAGAAATACATCCACAAAACGTCGATTTGAAGAATACAATGCAGCTTTATCTGCAGTACAATGTTCTACACAATTTGCCTTAGGAAATTCATAATAGATTTTCATTTTGGTGCCAAGGTTCAGACATGTCTACAGTAATTTCATTTAAGGATTTTCTGCCCCCATAATAATAGATCAAGGGGCTGTATACAACTGTTGCCTGTTTGTACCCCTTTGGGAATTCACAAGGAAGCACCAGGAACTTGATTGTAAATATCAGATGCTTCTATTTTTACTGTTAGTGTAAAAGTTCCCCTTAATTCCTTCTCCAGAGGCAAACTCTTCTCAGTTCTCAGACTTTATGGTTTTCTCATCCTGAACACTGAGTCTGCAGTTTAAAGATACCCAAAGACAGTGTTACACACGTTAGTGAACAGCTAGGTCCAATAGATGACGAAGATAGTATTACTCTACCACTCTCCCATCTTTGCAGTCAGACAACAGAGTGATATTTATCTGGTGTACTCAGATGGATGATTATTTTAAAGTCAAAGTTATCCTTAAAGGGATCACCAAATGAGAAGGCCAGAATACAAGTTTTCAGTGTCCAGTGCACACCCATAGACCTGTGGCTCCAGATTAAAGAACTGTTAGCAATAATTCCCAGAAAAAAGTCTCCGCACCTAATACTCATTTGGAACCAAGCACGCCAGCGTTGCTGAACTGTATCAATCCTAAAGCTGGAATTGTGCCATTGCAAAGTTGTTACTACTTTCTTATATAATATGCCTTCATTATGTAATGTGGTCCCATTTTATATGCTTAAAATTATGTCATTCATTATAAAAGTGGATGCAAGGTTTTTGCTTTTCACACACCAATTGCCACCCACATTCAGTATGTACGGACGTGCACACAGACATATGCGCTCCCCTGGATCCCTCATCTTCCTCTTGGATGCCTCAGGGTTTCAAACCCCGAAAGCAACTTTTTTCTTTCACTAGAGGCAGAGAATCTTTGCTTAGAGGAGATTCTGTTAAAAGAAAAAAAAAAATCCAGAACGCTCCCTCTTATGGAAACTCACATCAAATGTGTCTCTTGCCTGTCTTTCCTGGAGGTTCCCCAGGCTCCCGCTGGGGTGGAGGACCCGGGCTCAGCCCCCAGCAGGTAGTCGGTCCTCCCCGCTCGCTAGCTCACTCGGGCGGGCGAGGAGCATCCCTGGCCGCCGTGAGCCCGGGCAGCGCCCCAGCCTGGCGGACTCTCCCCCTGGCCTCCCCAGCCCTCTCCTGGCGCCCTGGGGAGGACGAGGCACTTACAGCCGGCGGCCGCGCTCCTCCACCGAGCGCCCGCAGGAGGGCACCGAGTAGCTCAGCAGGAACACTGCGACGACGCTCCACTGCTGTACCAGCCTCCGCAGCATCGTTTCCTCTCGCTGGCAGGACCTGCGACGGAGCGAAAAGGGCCCGAAGGGTCAGTCCGGAATCTCCATCTCCCGAACTACCCCGCTCCCCCTTTTAGCCGGATCTCAAATAGCCTCTTCAACATCAAGGGCATCTCCCAAGTTGCAAAGAAAAAAAAAAAGAAAGAAAGAAAAAGAAAAGAAAAGCAACTTTCTCTGAAGCTTCTCAACACTTACTTATTTAGGAACCAGCTACTCCAACTGTGCTTTTGCCAAACCACACAGGCAAAAAGGGACCAAAAAGGGAAAAAAAAAAAAAATCAGAAGCGCTTCCTCTGAAATAATAACCAAAATGAAATCGTTTTATATATGCATCAATGATGAGCAGCGAGCGTGTTTACACGTCTCCCATAGCAATGGCTAATTAATCTGGCCGGCGCTTCTGCTGGGCTCGAGGCGCAGGGCGAGCCCCTCCTAACCAGAGAAGCAAGCTTCCTCCTCCGCAGTCAGCTTCTCCGCGCACTGGGCCGTCTGGTTCCAGAGCCACTTGCAGGGAGACCCACATATATACGCATAGCTGTCTGTCTGCCTCCTCTGGTGGGCTGGTTGCTTCCGGAAAGTTGATTCCACACACCCTGAGAACAAGTTTCAAGTGCGTGTGTCGTCGATCAGGAGGGCCAGGTGGCAGCGAGGGCGGGCTCAGCGCGGCGCAAAGGGGCGGCGGCGGCCGCTCTCCGGGCGGGGACGCGCGCTGGCCGAGCGACGCAGGTTGGAGGCGAGTGGCGAGCCGAGCGGAGGAAGGTTCACACGCTCGCTCGCTCGGAGGCCAACCTGCGGAGCAGTGAGCGAGTCGCAAAGAGGTGGCGCCCGAGGAACGCGCGCGGGGCGAGCGAGGGCGCGGGGGCGGGGGCGGGGGCGGGCGGCCGGAGGGCCCCGCTGGCCGGAGCGAGCGGAGGGGAGCCCGGCGCTGGGAACGCTCTGCAAGCGGAGGAGCTGCCCGCCTCCCGCCCGCCGCCCCCGACGCTGCCCCGAGCTCCGCCGAGCCCCACCCTGGAGCGCCAGCCCCGCCGCGCCGTCTCGGAGTCGGGCGGGCGCGGGGGCGGATTCGCTCAGCCCCTCGGAGTCCCGCCGGCCCCTGACTGCCCGATGGCTCTACCCTCCGAGGTCCCCGAGGGTGTGCGGACGGGCCCGGGCAGCCACTGACCTCGGCGCGCCGCCGCCGCAGCCCCGGGGCGGGCTGGACGCGCGGCTGCCGGGACCGCCGGGGGCGGACAGACGAGGAGGAGGCCAAGCAGCCGGGGCGGAGAGCGCGGGCGCCCGGGATCCTCCTCGGGGATGTCGCCGGCCGTGGGCCTGTGGCTTTAAAGAGCCCCAACCCCCCCTTGAAAGCTCTGGGAGCTCGATGGGAGCCCTACTTCCTGGCCCTTCCTGGGACAAGTTTAGTGGGAAGAGTCGGCTGGGGAGGGGGGATCCTTCGCGTAGAAAGGGAAAAAACGGTTTCAGGCTTCAGGTCGAGATGGCATGTTTTGCTGCTCAGAACAGCTGAGGACACCTGGAGCCCGTCCAAGGAAACCCGCGCGCACGGGACACCCCCTTTGCAATGCCGGAGGAGAACCTACAGTCCTGGGGCGCGCACAGCCCTCTCGCCCACCAAGCAGGCGTCTTAACCACGCTGTTTTGGATAAGCGACTCTGTCACCCCCAATGCCCCCCGGTCTCCGGTTACATATTCTAAGGCGACTCTATCCGGGCCCCTTCAGCCCGCGGATGCGGCGAGGCTGGCGTGGTCAGTCGCGCTGCCTCGGAGAAGCGAAGGGAAAGCAGGGGGCTCTTCCCAAAGCGATGGGGCGGGGACGCAGACGGCTCTGAGTGACCCGGCAGTACCGTCTAGGAAGGACTGCAGCGGTCGCGAACGCCCTCCCAAGGGTGCCTCTATCTTTCAGAAGTGAACGCGGGTGGTTGGGAAGCCTTCGGGGCATGTTTGTCTTCTAGATAGACAACCCTACTGGGAGGTTTCCTTACTCTCCAGAAGGCAAGTGTGACTGAGATTTCAGATCCTCAAGGCAGCCTGACCTTGATCAAGCCTGGCTTTGAGGCTGGTGCTCCACAGATGCGCCACGGGTGGGCGAAATAGCGCCCTCTCACCCACCCTCGCTCACCTCGGGCCCTTTCCCCCTTCCTAACTGCAAGCCAGCAGTTCACGTTTGCTGCTTAGTTTGGGTTGGGGAGCGGGAGAGGACTTTCTCAGAAGCTGCTCTCTCATTTGATTACTTTAAACTTCATACTTAAAACACACACACACACAACACAAAACTTGGCTTCCTCCCACTTAAAAAAAAATCGCTGGGAATTTCCACAATTTCCCTTGAAAGCTTAAGAATTTCTAAACTTTAGACCTGTTTGCATGGCATGAAAAGACAAAGTAACAGGACTAAAAAATGTCAACCTTTGAACCTCTAACACTTTCTGATTTATATTAAATTCTATCCAGAAAGACACAGGAGCCTTAATGTAATCCTTAGATCTGAAGGGGGAAATCTGTAAAAAAGTAAATCACAAATGAGCCATTTAATACTTGCAAGTTGTTTAACATTAAAGTGATAATATTTGCTTCCACAATAAAAGAGAAAGAAAAAAAAACACACAACACAAAGGTACTTAGCCAAGTTTCAAACTAGCTAGGCTTTCGAAAGTCAACCCTCCCCCAATAAAGGTTAAAACAAAGATTGAAAATATTAAATCACTTATGCTGTAAGTAAATTCATTATACTCTCAGGGCATTATAAAGACTGACATCAATAGACTGCTTTGATTTATGTTGCTTTTTAAAACTAATTAAACAAAATTGACCTTCTCTCTCTCCTTTCTTTCCCCCCATTCAAGTTTTTGGTGTTGATGGCAAAACATCTCTCAAATATTTTTAGAATTTTCTCTCCCCCACAAAACAAGAAAATATAGACACAGGAGAAAGAAATAGTCTTTATATACTCAAATACCAAAGTTTCCTCATAATTTAATACCTCACCTTTCCCTTGATTTACAGTCTCCTCTGTTCTTCTGGTCAAAGAAGGGAGAATCTTCTCAGCAGTCTCTTCCAGAAATAATTTTTGTTTGTTCTTTAAAAAGTAACATTAAATCTTAAATAATTAAAAACTTTCTTAAGAAGTCTCCTCTGTTCTGACAAAAGGCGATGATGAGAAAGCTAGAAAGCAGGTACCTCTTCTAAGGTGCCCTGTTAATTACTTTCAGCAGAAACTCTCCTCATTATATACTAGTAGCAGCACCCTGACTAGCTGGCTTTCTTGGAAAGGGTCTTTTCTGACATCATAATTTAGTTTCCAATATTACTGAGTAACCTCTATGATAATGCTGAGGACATGTGAATGCAAATGAGATGACTTCACACAGGAAGCGCTCTCTCTCTCTCTCTCTCTCTCTCTCCCCTGCCCTCTCTCCTCTCTCTCTCCCCTTAGAAATAGAACAAGTGCCAATAGACGCTGAATGTTTGCTCAGGCCTTACTATCACATAAATGCACTTTAGCAAATAGGAGGATATGAAGGCCTGTCTTTCATCTGAAGTATTCCATGTGAAGACAGTTTAACATTGTGAGAACTGCACTTACATGTAAGACGAGTCCGATTTTAAGAAAGATTTTTCTAAAAATTTAAGTGCACTTTTACACTTCATGTTTAAATAACTGGTTGATGTATATCTCCAGGGATAGCTCCTCTTGCAATTTAGAAAAAAAAAAAAAGCATTTATGGTTAGCTTTTCATCTTTCTTCCTTTTTTCTTCCTCAGTCCAAACAACAAGGAAACAAACATGCAAATCAGAAAAGTATCTATAGCTCTTAAAACAGTGCACCTGGGCTCAGAAATTCCCTTATCTTCTTACCAATAAGAATCCAGATATACCATTTGCCAATCTGTAGCTCCAGGCTATCTCTCTTAAATCCTCTGAAACCAAACAACTAAATTCATCCTTTCTCTACTCCAAACTTTTTTCTTGGTGTACATACAGAAGTTTGTGTAATTAGCTCAAGTAAAGTTATCTTTTGATTCCATTACAATAAGTTCCTAATCCCTTACTTGCCTGGACTGAGACTGGAGGGGAGGCTGTTGCTGGTGGACACCACGGTTGAGCAAAAAAAAGGAGATGTCATACCTTTAAATCCCAAGTAGGGGTAGGAAAGGGTGTGTTTCATTGTTAAATCTCTGTTGTTAGATGAGGATAAGACTGAAACAGGGTCTCCCTTTTCCAGGAGCAGGACTCCCTGCTGACATCTGGAGAAACTGCCTCCAGAGAAGCACTAGACATGCATCAGTCTCGTTGGGAAAGTGGGTCTCACATCAGCCTCAACCTTCCCTATTTCCTGGGCAATGTTCAGCTTTCCCAGAAAGCTGGGAAGCGAGGCAGTTCTCCCCAAGGGACCTAAGCCAACTTGAGATGAGAAGGTCTTTAGGAAATGGGGGTCTCCAGGGACCACTTCTCCAAGGCCCAGCACATGTGCACCTCCTAACCCCATGAGTATGAGCATGAAAACGTTTGAAGAATAGTCTTCTCTTCTGGCCAGTGTGTGTGTGTGTGTGTGTGTGTGTGTGTGTGAGAGTGTGAGTGAGAGAGAGAGAGAGAGAGAGAGAGAGAGAGAGAGAGAGAGAGAGAGAGAGAAAATGGATATGTAGCACATGAGTCCTGATTTCCTGGACTGATGCCTGCCCGATGCCCTTGGCTGGGCCGAGCTCTTGGCTTCCTGAAGTAGGCAGCTCTGTACTTGTTCGAGACCACAGGGAGAGAGTTTCAAGTCCCACCTGGCTCAGAGGACAACTCGTCAACCTAAAACTGATCCTGGCGGTGCCATACTACCCTCCTGGCTGAAGCCCAGCTCCCTGTGAAGGCGATCGTCCTTTCTTACAATCTGAGCCCTGGCTGTCTGGAAGGCACTGCCCCCAGAGTTGCTAGGACCTGGGGAACTGTTACCTTCCTAACACCATTCACCCCGGGGCAAAAGCAGCCAGTTCACATCCAGTCTGTCTCCAAGGCAGATTGGGATGCCCATCCTCTCACGCAGAAAGGCATCCAAACACTTTAGAGAGGGCGTTGTGCCTATTTCACTTTGAGCTCCCGATGATGGTGTCTGCGGGCGGGCCCTGCCTGTCCATCCTGGGATTTGTGTCAGAAATAAGGCCACGGGAAAGAAAACGTGAAAACCACCGCATGCTCCCTCCCGCGGTCGCAGGAAGGGGTGGAGAGTGTCTCCTATGGCTTTTGGTGAGGCATGAGGGCGACAGGGTCATCTTAGCCCTCCACCTCCCACTACAGGCTTGGCTCGCCCTTGGGGATACGATCCCCAACAAAAACTGGGGCTTAGCACCTGGGGGCCCTTTGGCGGGTGTGGCTATGCCCCTCAGACTGCTCTCCCTAGGAATCTGGAGCCCCGATTGCCGCCCAGAATCCGCTCTGTCCCGCGTGGTCGACCTAGCGCTGCATTCCCTTCCCCCAGGTTGAGTGCGTGGTTTCGCATCCGGTGGAGTCTGAGTCTCGGGAGGGCCCCGCTCAGGCTGCAAGCAAAGGAAGCCCCGGGAACAGTGTGTCCCGAGACAGAGTCCGAGGGCCCCAGTGGACTTCCTCCAGGGGGGCTCTCCCCCTCCCTTTTTTCTCTTGGTCAATCGGTGACTCCAGTGTGACATAAGCCCCTGGCAGACCAGACTGATGATCAAGTCCCAGTGGGGGCTGGAGGAGAGAAGTGTGGGGCAGATGCACCACCCGCAGCCCAGTCCGGGTTCTGGTCCGGTCCAGGTCCCTGCGGGTGGGGGGAGCAAGGGGGCGGGTTTGTGTGCAAGGATGGT